AGGAAAGGAAAGGAAAGGAAAGAGAAGGAAGGAAGGAAGGAAGGAAGGAAGGAAGGAAGGAAGGAAGGAAGGAAGGAAGGAAGGAAGGAAGGAAGGAAGGAAGATGAAAGTACCTTGAAAGAAATATAGGAGGATTCATGGCTTATGATTTCACTCATTAGTGGTCTGTGGTGTGATCATGTGGTGTATTCTCTAGCCCATTCTTTCTTCCACTATGCCATCATCCTAAGGCCCCGGTCACACCGCAGGAAAAGCCGTGGCGGAAGTGTGGCTTTTTAGAGCCGCAGCAAAAGAGAAGCGCGGCAGCGGGATCAGACAGATCCCCCGAGCCGCCGTGCATATGCTCCCCGGCGTGATCAGATGCCGAGGGGGAAACCACAGACAGGAGAGCGAGGTGAGTCAGCTGCACATGTGTGCGCATGCGCAGTTTGGCAGGGGGCCTCACATGCTGCGGGAGACGGGCGCGTCGCCGATCACACGGCCGCCCCTGCTGCACATTTTCAGGTAGGTAGTAGTGTTTTGCAGGGTTTTTAAAACTCCGCATCTTCGGCTGGAAGGGACGGGTTGGGGGTGTGTGTGGCTTGCCAGATGTTGGCATCTGATCGTGCCGGTTTAATCCGCCCTCAATCCGTCTGTTCCGTGGGGCAAGTCCTCCTGTGTGACCGAGGCCTAATTGTGACATTCTTAAACATTGTGGGACATGTGGTGGTTTTGTAGTGGGAAGGAGCATTCCCCTGCCTCGCCATTTGTAGTGATCCTGGCAATGGATGCCCTGTGAAAGGCAAGGGTCTATTGTGCTTGAGTGCTGAGACTTCCTTCCCCCACGAAAACGATAACTGAGGAGCTCATCCTCACCCCACTACACTGCAGATGACTGGGATTTGCCCTCTGTGACAAAAATATCCTATTCCCTGAAAAAAATAATAATCAAGGGATGCTCAAATGCCTACTGCTTCAGCTGGCCCCTTTTTCAACAGGTGGGATGCTCAAATGCCTGCTGCTTCAGCTGGCCCCTTTTTCAACAGGGGCTGATATCTCGTTCACCAGGCAGCGAAAGAATTGACAGGCTGCTTGGCTGACCAGAACCTGTTTGTATCTAGTTGCAGGAACAGGACACGAGTAGCCATCCAAACCAGGCTACCAGGAGATAAGGGTTCAGCTGGGAGTCAGCCTCTGATCTGATGGGAGAAATTTTGCCATTCCCCTGGCCAAGTACTTTTCTTTTGGTGTGGGGTGTGGGGTGGAGTATCAGGGACAGTGTTCTACTGATTGCACAGATCAGCAGAATGTTGGGTACATTTGATATACTAGAGCCTGGAAAGCTTTCTGTACTCCATCCTTGTGAGATTTTGCACATTTGGGGCTTTCCTTGCTTTCCTGTGCCCAATAATTTCATAGTTTACTTTTTTTGGGGGGGGGCACTGCACAAAATGTGTCTAGCTGCATGGTAGCATAAACCATGAGTTGTACTGAATACAAGAAGAATGATTATCTTGCACAAATGGTAGGTTCGTTCACCCATTCCAATAATTTTGTTTGGAAAATGAGGAGCAGAAGACCTCTAAGAAACATAAGTGGTGAAAGAAGAGCAGAGTTCTGAATTCTGAATTCTCAGTTCCTAATAGAGTTGCCATAATGACAATAGATGGAATGCATCAAGGACCACTGACCATCTCCAGATGTTCTTGTGGAGCATGCAGGCCCAGCTAGGGTTGGAAAGAAGAAGAAGAAGAAGAGAAGATATTGGATTTATACCCCGCCCTTCACTCGGAGTCTCAGAGCGGCTTACAAACTCCTTTCCCTTCCCCTCCCCACAACAGACACCCTGTGAGGTGGGTGGGGCTGAGAGAACTCTGACAGAAACGGCTCTTTTTCAAGGACAGCTGTGCCAGAGCTAAACGGCTCTTTTTCAAGGACAGCTGTGCCAGAGCTTGTGACTGACCCAAGGTCACATCAGCAGGCGCAAGTGGAGGAGTGGGGAATCAAACCCGGTTCTCCCAGATTAGAATCTGCACACTTAACCACTACACCAAACTGGCTCTCAAAGGAAGATTTTTGTCCCCCTACTGTTGCAGTGCCCTCAAGTGTAATACTTTCATTTTCCTCACAGAAATGCATGGAACTCACACACACTGATGGAAGAGAACCAGATTTTTCACAGCACCCAAAAAGATCCAGATACGTACGTTTCTTAGGGGCATGGTTGCAAAGGTTTGTGTTACAACAAGTCACTACTCCTTGGCTGTGCACGTTCCTCGTAGTTAAACTATATGCACCTGATCGACAAAGGGCTGATGGGACACAAGCCTGGAAAGAGGGATTGGTACCACCCACTGTGAAAGGGAATCAGAAAGAAAATGCTGAGGTCCAAAAGTCTGGTTCTGTTGCCTCCTCATCTAACTGTTTGTGCCAGTCTCAATAACAGGGGTCGTTTCGTAGAAAAAGAGCTAGGGGAACTCATTAGCATAACTCATTAGCATATGCCACACACCCTGACATCACTGGAGGTGTGTCATAAGGCCACACCCCCTGACATCACCGGAAGTGTGTCATAAGGCCACACACCCTGCCCCCAACTGTCCCGGCCACCACCGCCGGCCTGGCAGCTCCACTGCCGAGCCCCATTAGGGGCCCGGCGGTGGACCTGCAAGGCCGGCGGGAGTGCAAGGAAGCCCCGCGAAGGCCCGCGAAGGCCCTCCCTGGCCCCAGGCAGGCAGAGGTGGGGAGAGGCAGGGAGGAAGCAACTTACCCTCCCTCTTCTCCTGCCTCCTCCTGGCTGAATGAGGGCCGGAAGCAGGGCGGCCGG